GAGGAAAAAAAAAAAGGCAGGAACATCATAATCATACCATCCTTGGCTATCATCCCAGGTTAGTCAAGCCATTCTCTAAAAGAAATAAATAAATAAACGAGTTTCTTGGTGGTCTTTCTTATAAACAGGCTTCCCCAAAAAACAACAATCAAAGATTACCACTGAATACCCAACTATCATACTACGCAAAACAGGTGAACTAAAAAAATAACAGAGAGAATAAGAGGCAGATAAGAAGAAGAAAACAGGCACAGCAGCTAGAACTTGTAAAAACTAAAGTGAACTTTGTAAAAATATAAAGCAATTCAACCAGATCTTGTTTCTTCTTTTTTTTTTTTCAAATAACATCTTTAAAAATAAGATATCTGCATAAACAGAGATTAGTTTGCATCTGTGTTTCTTCATATAGCAGGGATCTGATCATCAAGAACAGCCAAAGAAGAGAGAGGAAAAGTAGAATTATGAATAGAGGGATATGCCTCTTAATTGGGAGAGAGTGTGACTGAATACTTGTGGATGATACATCGTATTATTAATGAGTACAAAATTCTGTTACCTACTCACCTGTCACCATTACTTATTGTCACCTACGCACCAGTCACCATTAATTATTTTTACCTACTCACCAGTCACCATTAGAAGGAAACTAAGGAAACTGCTACCCGTGCGATACACGGTACAGAGATATGAAATGAGTTATTTTCACAAATCTGTCCGTTTAAGTCTAAAAAAGCAATAGGTTATCATTTATTTTCTACATCTTTTAATCAGCGTCTAAACAATAATAGAGTTATATATTTTCCACTTTGTAATTAACGTTATTTTTTTAACCAGAACATTAAATATGAGCATGTCAGGGTTAACTTGTAAAATAATTAATATATTATCTCACCAACACATTTATACTAATATAATTTGATATTAGTATATATATTTATTCCTTGATATAAGGAAAAATACAGTTTTTCTTATTCTTGTTCACCATATAATACTTAATTATTATTTTATTATAAACTTTGTTGTCATATAATTTATTATAATTTATAAAAGTTATGGAAATTGTAAGTCTTTTTTTTTATGTAATAAAAAATATTTAATGCACGTTAGTATTATTTATTTATGTAATCAATTTACTATATGTAAATAAATTTAAAATTACATAGTGCATAGATATTTTACAAAATATACACCCATGTTTTTTCAAAATTTAATTTTGTATACTAATTCAACAACTTTAATTTAGCAAGTGCCAAAAACTCAATCTCTTATATAATTATTTTTTTCTAATTTACATTATAAGTATTTATAATTTATTTATGATACTCTGCAATGAAAATATATTTTAGAAAAATTTCATTATAAAAAGAAATCAAAATAAAAAAATGATAAAAGAAATAATCATGGTTGCCAATAATATACAAATAAATTCTAAATAACAATTAATATATTTGAATTTTAATTTTTGACCATTAGTAAAAGTATTTAATGTATATGGTCATGATCTCTTAAATGGTAAATATTAATTTGAAGAATAATTTATTTTTATATATAACAAAATAAAGCTTAAGAAATACTATTATTGGCAAATAATAATTCAACAACTTGATTTCGCCTGATTAATTAAATTTACCTAATCTGTTACGATCTTCTATAAATATTTTTGGATAAAAAGTGAATAATTGTGAAAAAAAAATTAATATTATTGTTAGAACTTAAAATATGTTGTAATATTTATCTTGACCAAAATATTATCAACATGAGTCACGAAAAATCAAATATTGTATTTTCTTATAATGGATATCAATGAAATTATTGCAGATATTAGTAAAATTATTTATGGAAACAATTATTTTTATCATATGATTTGATCTTATTTCAAAACATGTATATATAAGCAATTAATGCATATATTTAAAAAATTTCTAAAAAAGAGGTACACATTAAATGCTCCTAAAATTTTTTACTACAAGTTTTAGTAAATAGTTATTCTTATTATACATGTATAGGTATATTATAATATTACAATATTCTATTTTCTATTTTGGCCCAATGATTGCCAACATTATTTTGTTCTTATTCTTTGACATGACATTTTTATTATTTAAAAGTACAATATTTTTTATCTACAACTTCAATAAATAATTAATTAAGCTACTCATTTCCTAAATTATAAATCTTTATGTTATAAATAATTTGATTTTTTTTCTTGTCAATTTAGCCATTGATACAGTGATCCAACATTATCTTATGTTTGGAAATTGGATACTTATTTGTATTTATATTTTTTAACATAAATTTCTCAAAATACGTGTAAAATAAATATACCAACACATTATTTCATTTTAGTCTATACCAAAAAAATCCTACATATAGAGTATAGACTACGTAAATAATTAAGATCTATTTACGAAAAAAATCCTACATATAGACTACGTAAATAATTAAGATCTATTTAATAGTACTGCACTACCTAAATCGCTGAAAAAAATAAAAAATGGATTTTTGTATTTTGTACATGTACATAAACCAGTTATGAGTTACCTACTCACCTTGACTTCCATCAATTGAGTTAAAAGGAAAAGGAAATACTACCGATTGAAAAAATAATAATAAATAATAATAAAATACTACAGAGCCCTCTATTATCTATTTCACTCATATTTTTTTCTTATTATATACTTGGAGTAGCGATGCTCGACTCAATAACAAAATTAATTTTTTTTTATAATATGATTGAATATATGATTAGACATTGCGGACTTCCTTTGTAGCTTCGTGTAAACAAGTTTGAGCATACCTCGAGCTCCTAGTATTCAGGATCGAATCATTATCCTGACAAATCGAGTTCGATTGGTTAAATAAATGAACTCAAACTCAAATTATTTATCAATATTAATTAGGCAAGCCATAAAAAATAAATATTTTATTTTTATTTTCAAGCCTTAACAAGATTAGAACCAACCGAGCTCATGCCACGCGTTTTGTTTAACCATTCCAATTGTAATTTCCTCTCAATTTTGTCAGGTAGAATTGTTAATGGTTGTCTTTGTTCTTAGAATTTCACATCAAGTCGCTTAGTCCAATGAATGAGTAAACTTAAAACCGGTTAGCTAAATGATAATTTAAATCTTAGTATCTACAAAGTAGAATTTCGATCAAACTAATATTAACTTCTTTCTTTGATAAATTCAAAGTTGTTATTCATGTGTACAGGCGTAGGGACGATTTTGATGTCAATAGATTATTACTATCGATTACCTTCGTTATCTTAATTAGTATCAATACCCATGCGATGTACGAGATATAATTTATTATTCATATGTTGATAAGTTACTTAAGATAAAACATTAACTCTATCCCACACTATACTAGTGTGTGGCCCGTGTGATGCACGGGAAAACGATTGTATTATAAATTAAATATATAAATAACATTAATCCTGATTTATCCATTATTTTTAAATTAAACCAGGTTGAATACAGTCCGACCGGATGGACCGAGAACCGGTTTATAACCAGTCTAATTCGCTTGAATAAAATATTTGCTCTCGAATCCGTCAACACCAGCTGGTTGGACTGGTAGAAATCGATACGATTTTCTAAATAAATTTTTTTATATTTAAAATTATTTTAAATAAAATCACATATTTAAATAAAATAGAAATTTATAAATTATTTATCAATTAGTTTAAACATTTGAATTTATAAATTGTTTAGATATCTAAGTAACACATTTTATTTAACTTTATTACAAAAAATACTATATATATATCCATTAAAATGTTTATAAATTAAAATCTGAGCAAACCACAAATAATTAAATAAAATAGCTTGATCGTTTCGATGACGGTCCAGTTCTAAAAACTTTATATTTACTGTACATTAATAAATATTATAATAAAATATTATTTAGTTCAGATAAATATTAATAAAATGATATATAAATATTCATAAATCATTAAACATGTTGTCATAAAAATATTGGTAATGCGATTATTTGAAGTTTGTACTACATCACATTCACGTAATAAAATATTTTCAATATAAAATTATTTAGGTTCAATAATCGTTTGGTGTGGTCGAATTGACACATAACTTAGCCACCTGGGACCAATCAAGTTGTGTCAAGTTTTTTGACTATTTTAAATATCACCTAAAAGTAATTCAATCAACCTGAGCAGTACCCTAATTCAATCACCTGATTGATCCGAAGAAATTTTCTTATTTTCTTTAAATATATTTAATTTTATGAAATAAAAATATTTTATGATTCATATAATAAATGTCTACACCAAATGATAGTATATTAAGATTATAAATTATATATCTAAAGATGAATTAATTATCTTTACTTTATGCATATTAATAAAAAATAAACATAGTAATTTTCAAAAAATTAAGATTAATTGATTGATTATGCAATTTAAATAATATTTTTAGCGTTCAATATTTTTTTAAAGGCACAAATATAAAGATCGAGATTTTAAAACTTTTGTTATATTTTGAATTGAGATTTTGTAAATATAGAGACCGAGATTTTAATTTTTCGTTGTTTCTAAAAAAATAAAAAAATAAAAATATACACATTTAATAAATCTTAGCCGGATTTTTTAAATAATAAAATGAACTAAAGCCCAAAATTTAAGTTAGCATTTAATATTGTATGATTTTTAAAGCAAAAAAGAGAAAAATAATAAAACTTACTATTTATAAGCTGCATTAAATTCTGATAGATTTTTTTGCTACTATTTTTGGTAAATGGTAATTCTTATTATATATATATAGATATCAAGTCAGTAATAATATAAAGTTTATTTAAATATTCTTTTGCCTTTTCGTCGTACAACAACAACAATAACATAGTCTTTTAGTCTAAAGCAAGTTAGGGTAGACTAGAGATGAAACCCAAGAGAAGCAATGGTACGAGAAACACAGAAAGGGCTCAAAACAAAAGGAAGAGATTGGAGCAAAAGAGAAAGGAGCAAAAGTCACGGTTCTGGCACGTTGATTTCTAGCCTCCAAGCGCTCCTATCCAGCGCTAAATTCTTGGAGATATTTCAATCTTTAAGGTCTCTCTTAACCGACTCTTCCCAAGTGAGTTTAGGCCGACCTCTACTTCTCTTTACATCATCGACCCGCTGTAGAACTCCTCTACGCACCGGTGCATCAGGAGGCCTCCGTTAGACATGTTCGAACCACCTCAGCCGATGTTGAACCAATTTCTCCTCAATTGGAGCCACCCCGACCCTATCTCGAATATCTTCATTCCGGATTCTATCCTTTCTTGTGTGTCCGCAGAACCAACGCAACATGCGCATCTCTGCTACACTTAGTTGTTGGACATGTTGCCTTTTTGTAGGCCAACATTCAGCACCGTATAGCATCGCCGGGCGAATTGCCGTCCTATAGAACTTACCTTTTAGCCTTTGTGGCACCCTCTTATCATAGAGAACGCCCGAAACTTGACGCCATTTCAACCAATCGGCTGCAGTTTTATGCCTAACATCAATATCAATGCCGCCATCCTTTTGTAGCATCGATCCTAAATACCGGAAAGTCTCCTTCTTGGCCATCACTTGCCCGTCAAGGCTAACGTCACCATCATCATGTGTAGCCATGCTGAAAGCACACGTCATGTACTCGGTCTTCGTCCTACTAAGTCTGAAGCCTTTCGACTCTAACGTGTTCTTCCACAGCTCTAACTTCCTATTTACCCCTGCTCTTCTCTCGTCAACTAGCACCACATCATCAACAAAGAGCATACACTAAGGGATATCACCTTGTATGTCCCTTTGGCCTCATCCATCACCAAGGCAAATAAATAAGGGCTCAATGTTGACCCCTGGTGTAGTCCTATTTTAATTGGGAAGTCGCTGGTATCGCCCCCACATGTTCGGACACACGTCATCGCATCCTTGTACATATCCTTGATGAGGGTAATGTACTTAGATGGGACTTTTTGTTTTTCTAAGGCCCACCACATGACATTCTTCGGTACTCTGTCATAAGCCTTCTCAAGGTCGATAAAATATAAGATGAATAAAGATGAATAAATAATAAATAATAAAAATATGAGATGAATAAATAAAATATANACATACATTGGAAATACTAGAATCTCCCGTCTCTGCCGAAAGACAATAGAGGGTTGGGCTTTCACGATGTTAATCTCTTAAATAAGGCTCTAATTACAAAAAAACTTTTAATGATACTATGTTTTAACCAATTGGACTACATGTTTGTATCACATCCAACACTAAAGAAAGCAACATTGACACTGTATCTGAGTCCTATATTCACATACAATTTTAAACTCCACTTATATAATATAGTTGTTTTGCTTTCTGATTTACATAAATTATCGAGTTTTTCGGCCTCCTGTATCATTGTATGTGGATCTCGAGCCCATGTAATTTACAAAGCTATCACACAGAACCAATAGAAAAGGTTGCATGTAAGTTATATGTACGAGCTCATCAACTTGAAAAAGAAAAACCAAAAAGCCTCCAAAAAGAGAAGAAAAAAGAAAGAAAAAAATGCACACAAAGGACCAAACCAGCTGGAATTTTCCAGCAACCTTTTGAGCCTGTATAAATATAACTAAATATAATTCTCCAAGTTTTTTGATTCTATAACTGAACTTGTATAGAAATTTTAGCCCCCAGCAGCTTTCAGGAAGTTATCATAAGGACTTGAGGCCGGCAAGCGGAAAAAGTCAGCATGATACTGAAATTCAGCTGCACACCCCGTTGGCACACCAGGTGACTGTAAAAAAGGTAAAAAAATGAAACACCTTAAGAAACAAGACGTAAAAATTCTTTCAAGCTTATAGTCAAATATAAGCATCACAGACAAAAAATCCACCATTATGAAGAATATTCTGCAAGAGTNGATACATGGATCACCCACTGATAAAAAGAAAAGTAAAGAAAATAAATGGATAAAGGTCTCGTTCATAGAAACTTCTTACTGTAAGATATCCTTTCTGAAAAACTTCTTGTGGCTGGATGATGTTATCTTGACCCGAGTAGCTAACTGGGCTGTTTTGAATCAAGGATGCAGACATGAAATTGGACATCACTTGCTGTTTTCCTATCTGAAGAGCCTCACATTGACTCGCCATATCCTTGAATGGCATATCCGAAGGGGTTAAGGATGACTTTTGCGCAACCTCTTTTGTTGTCTCTGTTACCTGGAATAATTTCACCATCTTTCATACTTCCCATATTACTAATAGTTCAGTATAGCGTGTAGATCAATACTACCTGGGAAATTATGCAAAAGCTCATATGGGACAGGACAGTACCTTATGAGATTCTAACAAAAGTTACTTATAAACTAATACAGCTGACAGATTTTTGGATTTCATTCATTTTGTTTCAGAATTTGCTATACAGTGGTAAAAAAAATATATATGCTTAAAGAAACAGCTTGAATATGCTCAAAGTATTATCTGTAGAAATCACGAGGACTCCAGCATCTAGAAAAATTTGAAGAATTATTTCTAGTAATTAAAGTAATTCTGTATAATTAATCAGTTATGCTTCGCAATCTCAAGTGTGCAAGAACTAGAGTTAATTTTTAAAAATCCATGAAAGAAAAACCAAGAATATATGTCATACGTAAAACAACAAACATTCCGACATACCATATCCATAAATTGATCGACACTCAGTAGACTGGGACTGTCCAGAGTCAACTGGGAGCAAGAATCTGTTTGACTTATAAATGAATTGGTTGGGCAATCATCACTTGTTGAAAATATCGAATGCTCACTCTGTGTAATAGACATGGGTTAGAAAGATAAAGCGTCAAAAGGGAAGACAAGTAGAAATCAAAGCAGTATCTAATGCCACCTCAGAAAGTTCCTTTGAACCAAACTGGTAAATTTGAGGAGTTTCCATGACTAGCTGAGCTCCAAGTGGGCATACATCATCAGGAAGGAAGTCTTTGAGTAACTCGTTCTTAATATTTGATGCCTCAGCCTGCACATTCACCGTAAAAACATGTAAAAGAAGTAACCAAACAATAGAATTAAATTACATGGAACCAAACTAGTTGAAAGTATTACATCAGATAGTTTCCCCAAATTCTTCAAAACCATGGAAACAAAAGATTCTGTGGATTGCTCCTCGGAGATATTTATTGCGGATAATGTCTTCAATGCATCTTCGTCATCTTCTTTTGATCCATAGACTTTGAGCCTTTTGTCTAGGCTTGCTTTATGATCAACTGCCTGTAGCTTGGAATCATCTACCAAGCGGAGAAAAGGATCGACCTGTTGAAGATCTTTAGTTAGACAATGCAGCAGTAACACTTAGAAATTTATGTTAATATCATGGAGTTAATGAATGAATAGAGAGGCATAAGTGGAAAAAAGGTAACAAACTAGATCTGTTTGAACCTACTATTTCATCCCTTAGGGCTGCCTTGGCAGAGGCAACGAGTGGAAGAAAGTCGTATGCTGTTGATAAGAAAAGGATCATAGATGTAGCCAATGTGAAAAGAGACCTTCGACGAGATGGTTGAAGTGGGCCTACAAAAACATGCAAAATCATCTATTAATATTTACGAATCAAGAAACTATTGAGTAAATAATATAATATCGTTGTCTAATCTGATGTTATGAAAATAACCAAAAATCATAAACCTGGACAAAAGAATTTTTGCTCGCAGGTTTGATACACGTTTGGGGAATATTTAACTGTAGTTTGATATTTTAATCATCTAACCCTCTCATAATGTTTTCACTAGCATAAATAACATAAAACATTTAAATTTCACCCACAAACCTCCTCTGAGAGAGATGCTCCTTAAGGAAAATGCAAGCTGAAAACTTCGAATGAGAATATCATTACTAGATTTCTGCAAACAAAGGAACAAACAAATGGTGGAAAATGTGTCAGTTCTTTATATGAGTGGTTCAGGTGAAAACAAATACTGCAAATAACAGCACGAGAAATAAGATCGTTAATCGGAGCATTACTGATAAGGATTATAAAGACAGAAGCAAGTCGAAAACATCATAAAGGAAAGAGGCCTCAGTTCTGTTAAGTACTATACCATCACAAAACATAGGACAAAAAAGGAAAAAATTAGTAGTACTTATGTACAAAATGAGTACAACTCAAACAAAAATGAATATGTAGGATATGATCATTTCAGGGCAAAAAGGCCAGTCCAGAAAATTCAGCCTCAAGCAGTGGTCTGTCAAGTCGGATTAATTATCAAATAATGTGCTGAAAAAAGTAAAAAATAATCCATTTTACAATTATTACCACAACTTTTTGGAAGATTAAAGCTTACGGTACTTTTTTCAATATATATGATTATTGAATAATTGTGTTTTCTTAGATACTTATTAGTTGTATTTTTCCCCTTTTTAGCTTTTAAATGTAACATAATCGATTCTATAAACTTAGCATAATAGCATCTCATATAAAAGAAAAATGTTATAAATATCTGTTTAATTATATATACTAGCCTTTGGACCCACTATTCAACAGCGACAACAATCCAGTTATGAAACAAAACTACAGCTCAAAACAATCATCGAGATGATACAACTAAATTACTCTTAGTATGAAAAGAAGTGCCAAAATTATCGCCAAGTGGGCAACCTTGGACTCATCATACATTGAAAAGCAAGAAATGAGACAGTGTCCAACCTCGCCCTAGAGTTGAACATTCACAAAAAAAGTATGTCGAGGATGTTACCTTGTTTCGTGAAAATAACACCACTAAACTGTAAGTATTCGCAATTGCTTCATAGTTTGCAGGAGAGTTCAAATTAGAGATGGCCTGCACCCAGATTGAAGAAAGCAAGAGACTAATTTGCCGGGTTTTCAATTTAAGCGATATTCCCTTCTGCAGAAAATCCATATCATCGTCACAAGTGTAACAAAAAAAAGCAACTCTGCTTCATAAAAAAGGTTCAAAGCCATACTGAAATGACTTCAAAGTACCAATTCAGTCTCCACGTTACACAACGTTGGAGGAAGGGAATGCCGTTGGAAGGTAACCTTTCGACTATAGCTGGATGCTAGCCGTGTCAGCAAGGATTGGTCTTGGTCCCTTTTGACTTCATCAGCTTGATCTGCAACTTTTCGCGGTGAAAAATGTTCCTTTCTTAATTTGTCGAATAGCGCAGCTGAGGAAGAAAATACGGAAGCCGATCTAGAAAGCGTCCTCTGTAAATCAGCATGGTTTTGACAGGAGGAGGCCGTATAGGGGCAAACAGACGAAGGAACAAGTACAACGGAAAATATGCGATGGGCTCCAAGCCTTGTTTCGTGATCTGGAGTGACCATGGCCAGAAGTATTTGATGGAATAATGCTTCAGGGAAAGCCTATAGCAATAAAAGAATTAGAAATAGAATGATTCAGAATAAAGTTATTAAATTCTCAACCAAGGGAAGAGGCATACCTTGTTTTGGTACAACAGATTCGGCAAGAATGCAACAATATGTGCCGCACGATAGACAGCTGCAATAGTATTTCTAGCCATGACCGTTATATTTGAAATTGTCTCCAACATCACAGCCATTACATCTAGGATAGGTCCAGCATCTCCAACCTGTGTTCAAGAGAAATTTTACTTAAAGTTTTCTCCAATCATCATCAAATAATAATAATCAGCACAATGTCATTGTAAGAAATGTGCGTGTGCAGGTTATTAGCAATTGGGTTTCTGTTGGTTACAACATGTGTCATAAAGTAATAACCTGCAGTCACCATACTGGTATTATAGTCACTGTAAAGGTGGAAGTATAACCTTGTACGACAATTGAACTAGGCACTCATCAATGACACTGTGGAACTTCCGATTCCATTTAATTATTTCCTCTCCAAGTTCTGAGTCATTCAGAGAGCAATGTATGCTCTTCCGCAGATGTCTCATCATATCACTGAATGCACCAATTATTGTCACAGATGGCTGGGCCTTTGTTAATCGAGTCAGGGAGATTGCAACTTGAACAATATCTATCTGCATATTCGGGTTCCTCAGTACATTCTTATGATCAAGATGCTTGATTACAGAAGATAGCAAGAAGTGAGTATTATGCCCTGCAATGTCATTAAACCACATAAACTGATCTTAGAATTCAGAAATGCATAAGATTACCAGAGGTAAGCGTAAAAACCTGAATTTTCCGCTATAAATTAAGCACTTCAAGGAAAGAGCTAAAAGACCTGAATTTTCCACTATAGATTGCATGTCCAGAAGCACTGGAAGGGCAAGACTCTTATCAGAAGACCACAGATTCCCCTTGTCAAAGTAACAGAACAGAGCATCAAGAACTCGCCGCACAGTTGTAGCCTCTCGAGACAACTTTGCCATGTTATGCAAGCAAACTTTTGACCAGAATTCAGGTCTTCCAGTATCCGTTCTGTTTACAGGAAAATAACCAATAAGAATGACAAAAAAGAAAAAATAAATAAATAAAAGGCATTTAAAGCCCGACTACTGATGTGAAGGCCTGGAAATAGGATTTACGTGGTATAATAGTCTCTCTCATAGACAACCTTCCTCCACGAAATTGCCCTGTTCGTGATATCCGAGGATAAAGGAATTTGGTTTTCAGCATGCTGTATTTGATCACAATTTTTCTCGGTGACCTGATTACTGCTAGTTGGATAACTGATATCCTTATTAGGGTCTTGACAATTTTCCAGTATAGCAGCGACAAGCTGATCTTTTGATAAACAGAAAATTATAGATCAACAAAGTTTAAAAGATGTCTTATAACAAGATGGGTAGAGAACTGCCATAAAATGCAAGCCTAACAGCCTAGAAAGAACATTGGAGGCAATAAATAGAGAGCCAAATTTAGCAACAGTATATACAAAGGCAGCTTTTCTTCTAAATCTATCCCTTATCTTGAACCATCCATTAAGAAAAACTCAAATTTACAAGTGGTACCTATTTTCCATGAAAAATGGACTTATCAACCATTTCGAATTAATATATGATGCCACATAAACACAAAGGGACCTGGGATAGGAGTTTAAAAAATGTTTAATCTTATGGTTAAGGGTGTGTTTGTAAATCAAATATCTCAATCCAAATTAATCCATAAAATCTACACAACTTTAACTCAACCCCACTATCCTCAATATTATCAATATAATGAAATAATAACAACCAATCATTTTTACACATCATATCAACTTTAATTCACTATTCATCCACTCACATAATTTTAACTAACCATCACTTCATATCATCTCTCTCATACTTTCACATCAAATCAACTTTAATTATTTTATTTTCAATATTATTTAATATAAACTCAATATCCCACTAACAACTAACTATACCACTTTTTTCTAAATTAACCCTAGTTAACTAAAAAACTCACTTTGAATGAATTTATTGGTTTACAAACACACCCTAAGCATATCTAGAGTAAAAAACACAAGGCAACTTATCTAACAATGGAAAATACATCATAAGTTCTAGACGTGTACAGAAACTTCAGGAAGGCCATCATTTATGAAATTAGCAATTAACAAAAAATTACGTAGTAAATACTTACATTTCCAAAGTCAGTTGAGATGTGACAGAATTCACCCATGAACCAAATCTGTCCATTCAACATAAAAATTTAGATAAAACTTGATTATATTTAGCTGAAAGAAGAATCAGAAACATAAGCAGTACGACGTAATATCACATAGAAGAATGGCCAAACAATTCAATTAACATTGCACAGAAGAAGATTGGAGGCAATTCTTCAATAGAAAATTCCCAGAACCTTTCTCAACTACAAATCTCCCTAAAAATATAACCAACCACTGAGGAAAAACTTTTGAAGATCCCTTCAGTAAAGCATTCAGAATGCTGACAGAATAATACTTTACAAAGCTAATAACTAATTAGTTTTATGAGAAAAAAAAATTAAAGTATCCGGACCTACAAAGAAAATTGGAACATGAGCAAAAGCTATTAGTCGTCATAATTTGCTATTCATGTGATATTTTTACATGGTTTGCCATAGATCATGGTATTCTGTGGAAAGCCAAATAAATCACTGGATGCAGAGAGGTAGGCAGGTCTATTTTCCATAGAGGTTGGGGCAAGATGGGTCGGGAGATGATAACCCTAGGTTGATTCTAGGTCATGATCGACGTATATATAAAACGGTTAGGAAAGGTCTAATGAAAAAAGAAGAAAACACAAATGAACAGGATGCAGAAAATACACAAATTTTGCTTACGGTTGAAGAGAGTGCTTGAAGCCCAGCACAACGTAGACGCAGTGCCCTTTCATCATCCCCAATCTCTTGAGCTATCAGACACAGCTTCGGAACCAAACCTTCCAAGTTAAACGTATAGGTACTATCCCTCTAAATAAATAAAGGTATTACATCAGCCAAGTCATATAGGTGCAATTTTGGGAATATCAAGGAGAAAAGATGAATAGTACCTGGTTATTTATGAAGTCAAAGAGAGCTTGACAACCAACAATACGCATATCATCATGTCTTGTCTGCTCCAGCAAAATGTGTATAATACTAAGAAAACTTCCCGCAAATAATGGCCTGCCATACGATAGTCGATATTACTGACCAAACTAGAGCATCTAAAGTAATAAATTCACAACACCGAAACCAACTTTGTAAATATGCAAATGAGAATGTCATCTCCATACATATATATATGTAAAAGATGGGAATCATCATCTTGAGTACAAAACATTACTTTTAAGTTCATGTGATATCTTATCGTAAATACGATGAATATAGATTATCATTAACAAAGTTATATATGCTTCTCGTCTTAATTGCCAATGTTGCATTTCCTTAATAATGAAACCAAATGACGAATATTATTAGGCACTAATATCACAGAATGGATGGTTTCAAGGGTGGCTAAAGGTCTAGGGAGCTATATATCTGATAGCCGGTAGGACAACTGAGCAGTTGTCAGTCAGAGAAACCGTATGTGAATTTAGAGAAGTTGTATCATAAACTCTGGGACGTCTTACCCCGAATCCTAGAGATTGCTCCAAATATTCCCTTCCAATAGAAAAACATACTTATTCTGGACTCGGGTTATGTATGGTTCAGAATTTGAAATGAAGCGTTAAATATTTGATAAAAAAGCATTTCAGTATCAAATATAATAGTTGAAGACCCAATCTATTCTTATAATTTTTTCTCAGCTGCAACACATTATGATGAGACAATTTGGGATTGTTTGGGAGTGCTTTTGCAAAAGTTCATTATCCCAAATGGACTTCTCTAAAAGTCTCCATTTCTTACTTCTCTTGAATAAACTTATTGGTGAACCAATTTATCCATGAACCCATTCTTAGTTAAGCACCAAACTTGTATTATTCTTGAAATGGTCTTTTGCATCCAAAGCCCTTTTGGGAAATGCTTCCAAACAAGCACTTTAATAAAGTTTGGCTGAGTTTATTATGTCATCAAAGCCGAAGGAAAAACTGCATGTCAATTATAAACTATTAACCTAAAATTGGGGCTGCAGGACAACAACTACAATGACGTCAACCAGAATAACTGAACTCACATTTGCTGTTGGCAAGATATGATCAACTTCCTGTATATACACATGACAACTTTTACACACTTAATATTCGCACTTCTGAGTTCCCGGTAACACCTTTCTTCAAGTACACTTGTAATCTGCTCAAGAAATCAGCAATCATTAATTGTCATTGCTAAGTAAAATGTCCATCTTTTAAATGAGAAGAAATAAGCCTGGTTGCTGTTGATTCAAAATCAATTAAATATTTCAGTACAGAAAGGCATAACAAGGACAGCGCAATCTTAAATAAATACTAGAGGGTATAAAGCCAACACAAAATTTCACAGTGATTTTATCAAGAATCTGAAAAGCAATCAGGCTTCCAATGACTCTTCTAGGCACAGTTGCATATGAAAATTATCTTCAGACGGACACAACATCCCGTGTGCAGGTGAGATTTCAAATGCATACAAATTACGATTGGAATATATAATTTGATTCTACTGAAGATCTGATATGATTTTATGCGAATTAGGAAGATATGAAATTGTTTATTTTCCTTTATTGTAACTCGTCTCTTGTAATGTAAATACAGCATCCTATGTATAAGAAAAATATACAACAGACTTTTCATAGAACACTTTCTATACATACAACTGAAGAAAAAAGTTGAAGAAAAAAGATTGTCAAATGAAGATTCATATTGAGTGAAAATAAAATCAACTCTTATCACAAAACACTACAGGAGTAACAGCCATGTCTTATATTTAACAAAGGGTACCAGTTTTAGGGACAACAAGACAATATGAAAGGTGAGAACGCGCAATTATTTGGTAGGATCTGAATAGTTTCTGCATAATTTAGTTACAAATTATCAATTCCAACTATGGACAACCCCTCAATGGGTATAGCATGAGAAGAGAAACTTTGACATTCTCACACGTGGATCCCAACAAATATTATTCGACTACGGATCATAATTATGTAAGGGATTGAAGAACACTAACCTTGGGTACACGTAGAGGATTTTTTGATGCATATTCACAAAGTTTACCGATCATTCTTTCGTTAGGTTCTTCATCCTGTCAACAGCAAGAGATAGAATGACTCGTATAAACACACAAAAATTTTCGTATGAGCGTGCTATCTGCAACACAAGATCCTAACCAATGCACTCTTGAAGTAATATTTGTAGTAAAAGACAAGCCTAGAAACAGTTCAAAAAATCATCACAGAAAATAAAGATACAATACAAAAGATCAGCAATTTAAATTTTAGGTTTCGAAAAGATACAGACTCTACAGGCATACCATCACCCCCTTAGTTATTCTTTTTTCATGTAGGAAAAATGAGTACTTAGTTGAATAACCCTCCACAGATAACCAATTTCACGTCTCAATGAATCTCCTCAAACCATTGCAGCTAAGTTCAATACACACAAATTAATCTGTCAAAAAATAATTAAATTCAGAAGTCGAGATAAAAGAGTTAAATTTGTAGTTGAGAAGTAGGAAGAACAACATAGGTGGGAAGCAAGAGAAAGGAAAAGAGCACTAAAAAAGGAGTTGAGTGTTTCAAAAAGACTAGTGCCGATAAAATCATTGGCTTTCGATGATATAGATATTTTCTAGAAAGAGAGAAACACATCTGCCAAAGGTGCATTGATCTTCCCAAACATACATTGTTGCTCCTGCTGATTAAGATCACTAATTATAAAGGAAAACATGATATATTAGGAATTAACTTCATGGACTCCTAAAAGTTCTCCTATATTCTAAGCCTGCATACCAAAGTCATTCCTGAATAGCCTAATAAGCCTTTCAACATTCAAATTAAAATCCATTATCACATTCATGCTCTTTATCCCAATTATTACTTATCTCGACACAGTACAAAGCAATTCCATCTGAGCCAACACCTTACATCAATTTCATCATTGATAAAGAACAACGTGATCTACAAACAGAATAGAATTGCTTCCAGCATATCTTCACCCATAACCATAATGGAAAGAGACATTCCGAAATACAGCATGATGCCATTATTTGGCTCCTCTGCATCCCTCAACCCAAAACAGGTTTAGTGAAAGCAATTTTAGTGAAGGGATAAGGTCTTATATCCTATTCTGGACAAAGTCTTCTTCTTGAAAATAAAAAGGAGAATGTATAAACAACAAGGCATCAAAATTATCTTGACGAAAGAGTTACAGATAGATGTAGTCCTGAAGATCACAGTATGCATCTGTATGGCACTGACTTTGACACTATAGTGACCAGACAGAAAATGGAGAGAGTAAAAACAGCACATTCTAAAAATCATATAATCAGTTAATCATACTTTAGCGGTCATATAAAAAAAAAACCCTGAAATTGTGATCTCCCATAATCAAACAGCAATTTATATAAAACGTCATCTCCATTCATCAAACAAGAACCAAGATCAATAATTTAAATGTTGAAAAAAAATGATTTACGGAACAAACCATATTTTTAGGAAATATATCTGCCAACAGCTTCTTGTACCGCTTCACGGGGTGCCGCGATCTGGGCCGCATAGCCGGGCAACAGATGCAGAGGCTATCGCAAATTGGCATCATCCTATTGGACGTTGCACCCATTTTTTCCTACCCTTCACCTCCTTGTTACAAAATTAATTCCTTGGCATAACAAATCAACAGACAACGATGATGGAATTAGCAGACAGAGTTAGGGGAAAGAAAAAGAATGATAAATTGAATGGTTTTGGATTCGAAGATTCAACAAAAAGGATCGGAGTCGGAGAGGAAGGAATAAAAACAAATGAATCGAATTGAATTGAAATAGGAGTGAAGACGAAATTTGAAATTAGGTATTGATGAATTAATGGGAAGACATGCGGAAAAAGTCGGAGGTTTTTCAACGGCCTCCAACTTCTTCAATCAAGGCAGTAATAAAATAAAATGATGGGAATGAAAATCGTTGGTTTCTTTCCGTTTTATATCATCATTTCATTTCATTCTGCATGGCCAGTACATGGAATTGGAAACAAAAGAAATGCATCTTTATCATACGTCGTTAATTTGGTTCTCTTTTCTGATATTCTTTTCTTTCCCGGCCTAATTTATTAAAATAAGTTCATTATTTATGTATTTCGAAAAAACATCTGTGTATCGTATGCTCACAAAATGTGTTACCAATATTCCAAACATTTTTGTAACTGCCAGCAGATTGTCTCCATCTTACTGCACTATGCATCTCCAATCCTAAGAATGTCAACGTTAAATGTTCATGCCATGTGTTTGTACATAATTGGATAACTGATCCCTTAAATATCACCGTTAACAGTAGAAATAGTAACAGCCAATTACTTCGTCCAATGCACCACTTTCTTTCCTACTGAGTTCTGTTAAACTGACTTTTAAACGCGATGATTCTGTTAAACTTATTTCTAATCATCTATATTGAACGGGTTTTTCTAATCTTCTATATTGAACGGGTTTTTAGCAACGGATAATGAGTTAACAATATATCCTTAAAATTTGTAACTTGTTATCCATATAAATACACTGGTTGTGTTAAATGATAACCCTCGTATTAAAACATTGAGAGATTGATTTTAAACGTATTTGTGTATCCTTCAATCAAGTGCTGTATTTAGAGATACTTGGAGACTTTTATCCTCAATCAGGTTTGCTGTATTTTTTTTATTTTTTTTTACTTTTTACTAGATTTTAGTTAGTATTATATATATAACAGTTATTTTTATAGAGTTATACATCTTCATCTTAAATATTTATATATATAGGCTGATTATAGTTTTTTCATATCCAATCCAATGATATTACTAGTTTTGTCTATTACATTACTTTGTAAATATTCTGACACATTATTTGTTAATTAAAGTCAATTAGATATCTTAGGAAGTAGATACAATAATTATCAAGTATTCTATAATATTAATAGTTAGTAAAATAATCTAGAAAGTTTTACAAAAAATTAATCAAATAGGTGAAATAGAGATATATAATTTATTTGTACTATTACTATTTAATAATCATAGTGAGTATTAAGCTAGCAATTTAATACATCTTGCCTTGAGTTATTATATAATATATATATATATATATGTACATTAATAAAAATATATTCATAAAGAAGTATATTCATATATCCTCTATTGCTAAAGCTAAATCACTTATATATATATATATATATAAAATAAGTGTGGCATGCAGAAATAAAAATAATTTTATATATTTATGTTAAGAAATATATTTTTTTACATGAAGACCAATATATACATTATTTCACAATAAATTTGTACATAGTTTATGTTATTTGACTAATAAATTCTTTATTAACTTGTATATTTTCAACGCAGGTTATTTATACATAATGGATTCGACTGGCTACGAATTGGATTCTAATAGCTCATCATCAAGCGACGATGCGTTTTCGCTAACCAAGCAACTAATAGACAAGCCGTTAGGAGATGATACATTTTTTGAGGAATCGAACTGCGAGGTTGTACAAACTTGTTCGTTTCACATTCCTGTGATAATGTCTTCATTCTTAACAAGCACCTCACGCCCTCATGGTGGAACGACTAGTAGTAGACGCTATATTCATCGAGATAGGGAAGGACGTCATGAATTAATTATCCATGACTATTTCAAAGGCGATGACTCAAAGTACACACCTGAACATTTTCGCCGTCGATTTCGAATGGATATAGAATTATTCAAACGCATTTTACAAGCAATTGAAAATTATGATGACTATTTTACGCAAAAGGTAGATGCAGTGGGGAAAAAAGGGCTAAGTCCTCTACAAAAAATGGTCGCGGCAGTACGCATGTTGGCGTATGGTTGTGCAGCTGATCTCCTTGATGAATATGTGCAAATTGGAGAAAGCACGACAATTGAGAGCTTAAAACATTTTTGTGATGCTATCATTGGAGTTTTTGAAAAACAATATCTGAGAAGGCCAAATAAGTATGACATTGCTACCTTATTAAAAGAAGGCGAGGCTCGGGGATTTCCAGGTATGCTTGGTAGTTTAGATTGTATGCATTGGCATTGGAAAAATTGTCCTACGGCGTGGCACGGTACTCACACAAATGGTTTTAAGAGAGTTCCAACCCTTATTTTAGAGATTGTTGCTTCGAAAAGTTTATGGATATGGCACGCATTTTTTGGCATGGCTGGTACAAACAACGATTTAAATGTCTTAGATAGATCTCCACTATTTGATGATATTATTAATGAAATTGCACCACCATGCGACTTTTTAGTACAGGGCAACCTCTATAATATGGGATATTATTTATCTGATGGTATTTATCCCCAATATGCCACTTTGATCCAGACAATAGCCCATCCATCATCTATGAAGGAAAAAATATTTGCAAAGTATCAAGAAGCTGTTCGAAAGGATGTAGAACGAGCATTTGGAGTCTTACAAAGTCGATGGCATATAATTAAAGGTCCAGCACGTATGTGGAATGCCAAAGAATTGGGAAAAATAATGAAGACTTGTATCATTTTGCATAACATGATTATTGAGTCTGAACATGACCAAGGTATTAATCCCGAAAGTTGGCAACCTCATGGAGATGATGGAGTTGAGAATGTTACCCCCGAGCATGATTTATCCTTTCTCTTATCGCGGATGAATACTAGAATAAAACAAGTTCAAGACAAAAAGGTGCATAAAAACTTGAAGAAAGATCTTATCGATCACTTGTGGGAACTACATGGTGGCCATCAAATAGAGTGATAGTTATTTATAATTTTTCAGCTTTTAAATTTTTACTTTGTCCAACTATTTCGAATGTTGATGAGTTTGTTGGTAGCTTTACCTTTAATTTTAATTGTGTTTTCAAACCGTGTCATGTTGACACAAAAAAGGTTCATGTCTAACCGTCAATTTTAAAGAATAAACTGATTTTGTCGGTTGCAAACTATATAACATATGATATACCATTGGAAAGACAAAAAAGTCTAGTTTTCAACAAAAAAAAACGGAAGTAAAAAATATTAAGTATATAAAGAGTTATGGTAGTTTGAATAAAGCATGGCAGAATTTACTTGTTGCTGGAATTTGACCCCATAAAAATGATCAAGCATGATATATACAAGATAATCTGTTACTCTTCCATTCTTGACCCTACAACTTTGATTGACAAACCATTACTATCAATAATCATTCAACCACAATCAAACAACAACTTGTCATCCTCAAATGAGTATTATACAATCCAAAGAAACACAAAAAAATAGAAGAAAGAACATTAATAACAAATACTTCATATGAATTGATCCTAAACTTAGCTGACTGCAAGGTTTTAAACAAAGTCATCCCAAACTCCAAGTGATATGGTCATCATAAGTCCTGGAAATATATATATATATATATATATATATATATATAAAAGATCAATGTAGTAATGTATATAGTTTAAGAGACACCAAATAATGTCAAGCCAAATAATACAACATACCATATTAGACCCGTGAGAAAATTCATTTTCCATCTCTTTCAAGATCTCTATCTTCCTAAGCTCGTAATATGCTCGACGAGTTGGTGAAAGCTTGCTAAGATCTTGGTTCATAAGCCGATCTTGCTCTTGTCTCCTTTGTTCCCTCATCTTCATCCTATACATTTCCTCCTTCATTTTTTGAGCTTTCTCTTTAAGTTCAAGTTCTTTTCTCATTACTTCCTCCCGCAATTTCAACTCCTTCTCTTCATTTTCTCGTTTCATCTCCAAGTTTGCTTGATTGACGCTAATTTGTTTCTCTAAAGTGCATTGCAACTTGTTTAAAGCATCCACAACTCCCTTTTCCTCATTTAGCTTTCTTTTTTTTTCTTTGCATTTTTTCCTTCCTTCTGGCCGCTCAATACCATCAATATTGGTAGATACAGGTACATCAACATCACCATTTGTTGCCATAGCTTCACCTGTCATTGTGCTCATCTTGTGGTCAACCACTTGTTTCGTTGATGTTGCAGCCTTTGTAAGTTCTTTAGAACACCACTTGGGATTTTTAATCAAAATTTTCCAACAATCGATAAATTTGAAAGGAGTGTCGTGCAAATCCTCATATGACCGCATAGCATTTATTATCTGCATAAAATAAATAAACAATTCTATATATTTAGTTTTTTCAACTTCGATTCAAGATTAAGCAAACAACTTTTAGTTTAAATAAAAAAAAATAAAAGAAAAAAACTTTCAACCTAAGTCACCATTCATTTTAGTTGGTTCAAGTTTAAGCTAACAACATGTAACTAAAGGGAAATAAAACAAAATAAGGTCTGTAACAATCACTGTAGTTAAAAAATCAACAGTTTTGAAAAAAAAAAAAAATAAGACTAACATCCACCACCAAGTTCAAAATAAGGTTTTTCCACAAAGTTCATGACAACTAAACAAAAAGAATAAATCTCTTGCACAATATTAAAACATGATAAAATATATACCACAAGTATTTACGAGTCACAATTTCAAAAAACCAAGTAATTGAACTACTCAACAATTTACCAAATTGACAATGTTGCATCATGGAAACAATAGGAGCTAACAAAGTTACTTTCAAATCTTAAAAACATGAAAATCATGTTGAAAGACAAACACAGAAACATACAAAAGCCCACCCATTCCAAGTGAATTCATGTAAATCATTATCAATATACAATTCAAAAACATATAGACCCTGCAATTCTAAGAAGAATTATATATGTTTTGCTTTAACGCAATATTAATTCAACACAAAAAAGGTTTAATACAATCAAGGCTATTAATAACAACAAAAGTCACCACAACAAGCAAAACTTAAGCATATATGCTCCAAATCAATAGCCAAACAAGGAATTCACAAATTGAGATCCATCAGTAACATAAAAGTTACTACTAAATTTATACAAATTCCTAATGTTCAAGGTAAAAAAGATAAAGCATAGAAAGTCCGACATAGATTCTCCAAACAGCCAAATAAAGGAAAGCAAACTACTTTGATCTCTCCCTCAACCTATAGCACCATATTCATTTTTATTAATTATAGAAGATTGAAATTTAGGAAAAACATAATATTCTTACCAAATCCTCCGAGTTTGTACCACTTTGTGGATGTCTTTCTAGACGCTCATACAAGGAATGAAATTTGCTTACAGCACCTTGTATTTTGGACCATTTGAGTTGTAGGCTATTGTTATTTCTAGCCAAATTGCATTCAGTCCCCATGCTCTCTCTCCACACCTCCAAAATACGATCCCACATAGCTGCTCCCTTTTGATTGGTACCAATATCAGCATCCTCAGAAATATATAACCATGCTTTTGTTAAAGCAATTTCTTCCTCTTTGGTCCAATCTTTTTTCGCAAGTGAAGCTTGGGAGCTGTTAGAATTTTTCGTACTTTTCGTTTTTCTTTTTCGTTCCCTCGTCGCAGCTTCAACTTCAGAATTACCAATTGGAGAGTTTAAAAGATTTTGAAAGGAGAATCCAGGTGTATGTTGTGGGTTAACAGAAATATATGTTCCTGTTATTGGATCGAAGTGATAAAGTGGTTGCATTTGAATGTTTAGCGGGTTGAATTGGCTTGCAATTTGTGTTGGCCTGGAAAAATTTAGAGTTGGTTGGGAACTTGAATACTTTTCAGAGTTCTAAGATTCCATTTTCGGTACAAGTCTGCAAAAAGAAAAACAAAACATATACATTGAGCAGGTACAAGATTCATAATCTAATGAATCACTACAACAAATGGAATCAAAATATGACAACTTACCAATTTCTAGTAGCTTAGAATCCTAACAAAACAAGATGAAAAATAATGGAATAAGCACCACATGATAACAGACAATAGACATTGCTGCAATCCGGAACAAAAACAATAAAAATTAAGAAAAAAACCATGATATAGATATTTAAATGTTGTCTCCATGTTTACTGTGCACAAGCAGCATATGAATATACCATCATCAAGCTCAACCTTTTGCCATTTATTATTCCTCAAATGATATTTTATTTTAATTGATTCAATATCTTCAATAAGTATACCCCTTTGGCTAACAATAGTTACACACAAAAAAAAAAAAATATATACAAAGAACAATGAATGTAATCAACACCCGAGTCTCTAATCAGTATACTGCTTTGGTAGGAATAATATTTGTGCTCACTAAAAAAACATTCATATATTAGTAATTAACATTCATATATTAGTAATTTCAAATTTTCTGAAATAATTCCAACTTCTTACAAAATACAGAGACTATCAAAATCTGAGCAAAACTATAATCAAACTTCACCAAAAATAAATCATATTACTCATGTAGACGAAAATAAAGTATAAAATTGAGCTACATTAAGGAAGATAAAGTTGGCTCCTTCAACTCATTTCAATGCACTGCCGATTCATGTCTAGAAACAAAAATCTAATTTAATTAGCATCAAAAAATTGCAATCACAATTCTGAAGACCCATCATTCCACAGGAATTTCAAATCAACACAATCCATAGATTTGGGAATCCTTTTCACCCGTAGAAATAAAAATCCATTTTTGAAGTTTGGGATTTCAAATCCACATCATTAATCACACAAATTGCAAAGGGATAAAGGAAAAAAAACAAGAAAAAAAAACAAAAATTGAACCTTTTTTAGGGCTGAAGGAACGTGATATTTCCTTGCTCATTGACGGCGGCCCTCTCCACGGCCTTCCTCCACCGTTTGCATCAATCCGTCGCTTTTTCCTCGATTGGTTGCCCGCGAGATAACGAAGAAGAGAGATAGATTTCTGAATTTCACAGAAATTGAATTTTTGTAGGTAACTTCCTTGAATTTTCTCAAGCTGTCGCTTCTCTCTCAATTGCCCACGAAAGTTTTCCTCTTTGTCCGCGCAATTTTTTTCCCACGTTTTCCTCAGATTTTTGCACGATATTGATGAGTCACGCTGTTATAGGCACTTTCTACCTCTAGACAGGGGGTGAGAAAGTGGTCATGCCACATCATAAAAATATTAACGAAGAAAGTGACCATTGTAGAGGAAAAAATGAAGAGGGTGTCTAAAATATGTACGTGGCACGTATATTTTTAAGTCAACAGTATTGCACTGCAGATGCTCTTAAAGTGCTATTGGTGAATGTTTTTTGTCAATTAAGTTTAGTAACATAAATTAATTAATTTATTAAATTTATCATTGCAAGAACAAAATAAAATGTAGAACAAATGAACTCTTAATGTAATTTTTTTTTTATATTATCACAATGTCCGAATAGATGAAATAACATATTACAACCCAAGAAAAATATATGAAAATGAGACCTTAAAAAAAATACTAAATAACTAAATAATGACCTAATATATATTATAAATACATTAGTTCTTTTATTTATTTATTTTAGATGGTTCGAGAGTGATTTTCTTTCATTTTGGTTTTGACGTTCTCATAAGAAACATTCATACCTATTGGAGTCTAATTCATTAATATTATTGTAATTCTTCTTAATTCATTTAGAAAAACATCTATTTTATTCAAACACTTGAAATATTATGGTCAAACATATAGTCGAACTTCATGATTGTATGATCTTTATAAGATATTTCTACTAACAGTTCATGAATATCTATATGAAATAACCAACTATATCATTAAAATTGCTAATAATTTTTTTATCTCGGTATAAACTACTACAATATTCTATTTTCATATAGAATTATAGACAAATTGGTACCTACCCTATGGAGACATCGCCCCATGGGGTGTAAATGAATTTCATCTCCAAATAAATATTGATTTTTTATGACCGAATAAAAAACATTTTACTTTTCGAATTTTTGATTACATGTACTTGTGAGGCACTAAATTATTTTTTGAAATTATCATACATTATATGAAAGTGCATACTCTAAAGTAATTGCACATATGTTCGAGCACAATACACCACTGAGATTGTTAAATGTTCATATTAAACAGTGACAACATTATCAAACATTCAAAAATATTTTGACACGCTATGATATTCCCTTTTCAGTGTTATTTATTTGGAATATAGAAGAGCTATATAATATATTGTTTGCAAATTATTGACCATCTTGGTTGTTGCAATGATTTTAGAGTTATTTATCATAATATATTTCTCATTCGTTCGGATAAGCAATATAAATAACTTTTTTAGTTCTATTATTATCTAACTTTTTGCATCAAACATCAAAACAAAACAATGAGACTATATTGAGAAGTATATCATTTGTTAAAATATTTGAGAGGAGAAAAATTCAAATTTTATTATATTATGGTACACGACAAAATTTCATTGTTAGTCCATTATATTAGTCATTTTACAACAAAGATTCACCTTTTTGGCAGACATCAAACTTAGTACATTAATTTGAAAAATTTTGTCAAAACAGGTACACTAATCATTAGCAGGATAACGTGCTCGACGCAGGCTAGTTACGGGCCGAAAATGTAGTTTGTTCATATTATTTTGAACGGGCAATTGACTAAGCAAACGAACTCCATTTTGTTTAAATTTTAGCTATATGATTGTCTCAATGAAAAGAGGTCAACGGGGATCACATAATTGAAACTGACGTTAGATGACACCATAATTAAGCTGAAAATAGAACAACCCAAATTATTTTAGATGAGAAATTGATCGGGCAAACAAAATCTAATTGAGTTACAAATTTATGTTTATGACCGTCGTCTTCATGAGACAAATCTAACGGTGAGTCACCTGACTAAAACGTATACAATAGCAAACCGACCAAAGCATGGATCTTATGGCCCGAGGTCAAGAGGGTTGTGACATCGACCTCTCAATCCTATGTATACATATATACGTGTATATTTCAGTGAAGCTTAAAAAACAGGGTTGTGGTGTAGTTTCATCTTCCTATGTCATCGGAGTATTGAAATTGGGCGACCATTCTGCTCCATTTTCATCGCATTCTCCATGTAATTCCTCTATTTACCTCTATAGACTCTGTGTATTTTTGGTTAATAATTATCATCTTCAAATACCCACGTAATTTAGTTTATTCTTCCCTTTGTTCTTCCCGCAAGAAATCAAGTGCAAAAACTTATCTGGCTTTCGTTTTCTTGTCAATGGAAGTTAAAGTAAATTCTTCATGGTGAGACTAGACAGGAGGAGATTCAATGTGGGTATCTCTTTTCGTGAAAGTATTTTAACGTTGGAAGAGGATTCAGTTGTAATGGAGATTTTGGGTTTTAGAGGAATTTAGTAGGCTTCATGTTGCACGATTGGTCTCGTCCTTACGCTCTCCCACCTTTCCAATTCCACCCATCACACATGTACACACGCAGAAGTTGGGATTGAATATTCTAGAAATGTTATGTAAGTTTAGTTATAAATATAATACAAATTTTGATTCATGTGGGAAGTGATTTAAGAGGAAGCCCACCCAGTATTTCCTCTGATGTTGTATGTGAGTGGTGGGCAATGGATTGAGATTTTATCTATTAGACTAACTTAGTTGCGGGGATTTAATTGGCTCTTGTAACCGGAATTTGGTGAAGAAGTGCTTAGTATTTTCTTTCAAGGCACTAATATAGGGATTAATGGGACTCGGAGATTGGTAAACTAAATACCTGCATGGAGTATTTTTCTTATTTTGTAAGTCACACAATATGAAAGGTCAAGCATCTATGTGGTAGTGATGTCAACATTTCAAAGCTTCGGGAGTGCTTGCCATGCATTATACTTTTACATTGTTGTTGTTGTTTCCTTTTTCTTTTCAGAAAAATGAGAGGATGGAAATGTGTATCGAGATTTGGTATCCCTATATGTCATCATATCTTCTTAATAGTGTACTAGTTGCTATTCTACATGTCTATGGCTTTCTTTTGATAAAGTTCTTGTATTTTTCTTCTACATGTTGATGTCACCTACTGAATTACTTGTGTGCAATTACTTTTCTGTCTTATTTTTAAGTCTCTTTCTGCTCTATTGTCCTCTAGTGTGATTTTTCTATCCAATGGATAGGTACACAATAAACCAGGCTGGGTTCATTGTGAGAGATGATGAAATCTGCTGGACATACTTTGCTTGCTTCTTTAACTCCTACTCACTCTCTTATCCTGAAAAACCATGGCAGATTGTCTCCAAATCTAAATTTTGGAAAGTTTTCCAAAACAAGAAAACTGCATCAGTACCCTCACAAGTGCCAGTTCCATAAACAGAACATAATGACTGCTAGTCGGTACCCTCCCCCTTGGTTCAGGTTGATCTTCTTTCTTCTTCCAAATCTTCTTTTCCACATGGTAGTTGTTTGGCTATGTCAGATCTTTAACACCTGCTTGATATATAGTGTTGCTCCAATGATGGACTACACGGACAACCACTATAGGACTTTAGCTCGCCTCATATCAAAGCATGCTTGGCTTTACACAGAAATGATTGCTGCAGAAACTATAGTATTTCAGAAGGGAAATTTGGTATGATTTCCAGAAACTTTTTCTTTTTTCCTGCTCATGTTTTCAGAGGATATATACACTGTTTTAAGAGAAATGTGAAAAGTTAGCAATGCATCTGAAGCTTGTTCCCTGTATTTACAGTTTGCAAAGCTAATTATTCCTAATATTAATAGTGTCTTTGCCTCTTCCAGTTGCCTATTTTCTTTGGTAACAGTGTATCTTATCTTACTACCTCATGTTCAAGAAAGTTGATAAAATATGAAATGATAGAGGAAAAAAAAGGACCGATTCAATTACAGTCTGAAACTTAAAAGAATTGCTGATGAACAAGTAGAGTTACATCCTGAGTAACATTGTACTACTATTGGGGTGATAAAAAAGAAAAGAAATTTGGTCTATGGTACTTAAACAAGACCATGAGATAAAAGTAGTTCTCTAATTTAATGTTAAATCACACCAGATTGCTGTTGTTGGTGGGTTTACAGAACTGCGTATGGAAGATATATGTATTTGTTTTTCTTTTGAATGAATGAAAGGGTTTGCTGTTATATTGCTTTTCATCATTGCTGAGAGACAGGATATTAATGTAGAAGAAAAACTATACAGTAGCACAGACATCTATTGTCATAGTAATTCTCTAGTCTTTAGTTATAGACATGTGATATAGTCATAATGTTGTTTAGTCATTTAGTATCCTACTTTAATGACCCACATTTTCCTTAGGCTTTAAAGACGGTGATTTGGGTACGATGTGGTAGTTTGTTGCTTGGTATAAGTCATGGATTTGATGGGTAGCCGCATTTACCACAAGGATGCATTGGCAATGCTCTCTCTATTATTTACATGAGAAAAAGTGTTGTATCTATCTTGACTTTCAATCATGTAATGGCACTTCATTAACAAAGACACCTGATTTCATTTATTTGTTCTCTGGTATCATCAGGATCGATTTTTGGCATTTGGTCCGGAACAGCATCCTATAGTGCTTCAAATTGGGGGAAGTGACTTGAATAACATTGCTAAAGCAACTCAACTCACAAGTTCTTATGGCTATGATGAGATCAATTTCAAGTTTGTGCTCTCATTATGGTATCATGATTTATTTATCGATGTTTACTTTTTTATGCTGCTAAACTTAGACTTCTATGGAACAGCTGTGGATGTCCAAGCCCCAAGGTTGCTGGAAATGGTTGTTTTGGCGTTCGCCTAATGCTTGATCCAAAGGTTTGTCAAATAGTCCTTGACTTACATTGAATGAGATTTAATGCACAATGAGTTCTAATTTAGCTACTTCGTATTTTACAAGGGAAGTTTGTTGCCGATGCTATGTCAGTAATTTCAGCTAATACAAATGTTCCTGTTAGTGTCAAATGCCGAATCGGTGTTGATGACCGTGATTCATATAATGAGCTGTGTAAGTTCTTCCACTGCTTTTCTATCGAGAGTTTAGTAAAATATACTTCTTTTGCTCATACTTTTTCTGAGAAATGCAAGATGAGTAATGCTCTTATTTACGTAGGTGGTAGTTCACATTTCCAGATTTAACCTGCTTCCACCTTTTATCATTCATCTGAATGAGTTCTTATGTTAAGCATCTTATATGGTCCCCAGAAATATTTTTGTTCCTAAACGTTATCTATATTCATATAACTGGATTCTTATTTTTTTTTTAATAACTTGAGGAACAACATTTCTGCTATTTCATGACTTGCCTATTTTCACTTCTATCTCTAGATGCTTTTCCGATATGTTGTTTTAGATTCTCATATTAGTTATTTTGAATCCTTGGCCTTGTCTTTATTGTATCTGAGTATATGGAGTTGCTTCCTAGGGTTGTTTTCAGTTCTTTGCATAGATTGTTATGCTTGAACAATTATCTTCTTTGATGATCAAAACCATTTTCTTGCTGTGTACAGACCTTAGATTGCTTGGATCAATTATTATAGTTTCTATTCGAACTATATATGGATGTGGTGGTGAATTTTATTCCCAATTGTAATTGGTCATTTTCATTTCTGTGCAGGTGATTTTATATATAAGGTCTCATCTCAATCACCAACAAAGCATTTCATCATACACTCCAGGAAGGCATTACTTAATGGAATAAGCCCCAAAGAGAATAGATCTATTCCGTCCTTAAAGTAAGCATTTAGCATATTGGAATGTTTATTAATATATCCTAGGTGCACCGAAGTTCTCATTTCATTTCTATCTTTAATTGTTAAGTTTATTTAGTTTCGTAACTCAGCATAGTTAGCTGTGTGTAATTTGCAGATATGAATACTACTATGCTCTTGTGCGTGATTTTCCTGATCTACAGTTTACCATTAATGGAGGCATTAACACCGTCGATGAGGTGACTCTTAAAGCCATTTCCCATCATTAGACATGTAACATTCGGATTTTTTTTTAAGCTTAGAAGTGTTGAACGAGAACAAAGGTATTCAAATTAAGTGGAGTTGGCACCTTTTGATATTCTTGGTCCTTTTTTCATCCACTATTCATTTTAAGTGTTCCGCTTGCCTTTTCTTTTTT